AGTGCCTCTCGGTTTACTTCTTTGGGGCCAGTGCTCTGCCAGCCCTGTCCTGGCGGTGCCCAGGGCCGCAGCTGGCCATGGCTGCGCCTCAGCTTGCCCCGTCGTGGACAGCGTACCCCCTTAGGCTGTTTTGCTGGATTGCCCATGACCCTGGTTGGCTGCATGATACATTCTGTTGAGAAAGTGCATCAAAACAATAGCAGAATTATAGGGCGGGTTTAGACAGGAAAATGGACTGACACGTTGGCATTTGTTCCTTGCTGAAAGGGGTGTAAATGTAGGGAGACTGTCCATGGTGACAGCATAAAAACAGAGATGGTGATTAGAGCAGGTTTTGTCGTGACTCTGCGTCTTCCCCGCATAGAGATACTCTCATGGAAAAGAACGCCCTTAACCTCATTGCCTCCCACAACTCCTATCTTCCTTCCTCTTTGTCCTAACATGTTGGAACACAAGGTACACGGAGCTTTGGTTTTTACAATAAAGCTTATCAAAAGTTTTTTGAGGTCATAATATTCCATCTGGTTATTTTATGAGGCACTTATACTATTATAGACAGTTTTACTCCCATGAAAAACAGTTTAAACTGTGGCAAAATACACAGAACACGGACTTGACCATCGTAGCCGCTTTAAGGGCATACTTGGTAACGTTAAGCACGTCCACACTGATGTACAGAAGTCTTTGCCCCTTGCACAACCCAGACTCTACATACGTTAAACAGTAACTGCCTGTTCCTTCTCCCATCCCCAGCCCTGGCAACCAGCATTCTGCTCTCTCTTCCTATGACCTTGACTGTGAGAGCTGCTTCATGTCAGTAGAATCATGCAGTGTGTACTTCTGTGACTAGCTTATTGCAGTTAGCAGAATGTCCTCAAGGTTCATCCATTTTGTCGTGGGAGTCAGAATTTCTTCCCTTTTTGGGTGAATGATATTCCACCATATGCATACCCCACCGTTCATGTTACCCTTTCATCCACTGATGGACACATGGGTTACTCTCACCTGTTGGCTACTGTGATTGATATTACTGTGAGTAGCAGAGTGCTGATATCTGTTGCGGCTCCTGTGTTCAGTTCTCCAGGGTGTATACCCCGAAATGGACTTGCTAGGTCATATGGTAATCCTATGCTCTTATTTTTTGAGGAACTGCTATACTGTCTTTTATAACAACGATACCATTTCACAGTCCTGCTAACAGTGTACAGGGTTCAGGGGTCGCTACATTCTAACACTGCCTGTATTTTTATGGTGACCATGCTAACGGCTGGCATCTTATTGTGGTTTTGATTTGCATTTTCCTAGTGTTCCTTCTGTTCATGTGCTTGCTAGCTATTTGTATTTCTGCTTTGGAGCAAGGTCTCTACATGTCCTTCACCTGTTTTTTAATTGGGTTGTCTGGGTTATTTTGTTGTTCAGTTGTAGGAGTTCTTTATATAGTTTGGATATTAACCCTTTATCAGATACATGATTTGCAAATATTTTCTCTCAACCTGTAGGTTGGTTGCCTTTTCACTCTGTTGATAGTATTCGTTGAGGCAGAGTTTTAAAAATTTTGATGTAGTTCATTTACCTGCTTTTACTTTTGCTACCTGTGCCTTTGGCATCATATCCATGATGCCATTACCCAGCTCACAGACCTGAAATTTTCCCTACAGAGACAGCTTAATCAAACCCCACATGCCCCATTCTGGGTCACGTGGCAGCCAATGGGTTCCTGCACACTTTGATCTTCTGTTGGCACTGTGTGTGTTCACAAGGAAGCAGAAAATACGCAGCCAGTTTTGTCTCCTTCAAGTGCATTTGTGGTGAGACTGAGCAGAGCAGAGGCTATCACTGGTGCACTGGCAATGCTGCATTTCTGAAGTCAAGGTCAGAGGCATCTAGAGAAGCATTTGATGTTGCTTTTTCTGCTAATTGGACCGAGTCAGCCCTGGCGGTCCCCTGAGGCTGTGGTTTTTGAAAGTGCATGGGTCAGAGAAGACAAGCCTCCATTAAGAGCTGCAGGGGTAAATTCATGCGGTCTTTCTCTGCCCTTCAGATCTGGCTCTTGGGGCCACGGTGAAAGACGTGGATGGCGGCTGTGGGCTGATTAATGTTCAGGAGGTCCCAGATTTCTTTTGTAAACCACAAAGGACCAAACCTTCCACGCATTTGGAGAGGAGGAAAGTCATTTTGTGGGAATTCTTCTAAGAACCCAACATTATACAAATATAGCACATTTTCAGGAAAATCAAAGAAAGTCTTTAAAAATTCCAGCCCTTCGCCACTTTGGTAACTTGGGCATTTGAAGATTTAGTTACAGTAGTGATTAATGTTCATTATCTAATGGAGAACTATTCCTTTGAGAATAAAATGTATGCATTCCCTTCTCCTATATTTTAGAGAACAAAATCATCAGTCTAATTTTTTTAAAAAGATTTATTTTATTTATTTGAAAGAGTTACAGAGAGAGGTAGAGACAGAGAGAGACGCCTTCCATTTTGGGTTCACTCTAGGGTTCCATTTAGGGTTCACTCCCTAAATGGCTGCAATAGCTGGAGCTGAGCCTATCTGAAGGCAGGAGCCAGGAGTTTCTTCCAGATCTCCCACATGGGTGTAGGGGCCCATGGATTTAAGCCATGCTCTGCTGTTTCCCCAAGCACTTCAGCAGGGAGCTCAATTGGAAGTGGAGCAGCTGGGACTCGAACCGGTGGTATCTGCTGTTCACTCCCCAGATGGCTGCAATGGCCATGGGTTGGCCAGACCAAGGCCAGGAACCAGAGGCTTCTTCCACGTCTCCCTTGTAGGTGGCACAGGCCCATGCACTTGGGCCATCCTCTGTTGCTTTCTCAGGTGCATTAGCAGAGAGCTGGATAGAAGGTAGAGCAGCCGGCACTCGAACTGGCACCCATGCGCAATGCTGGCATGGTCACAGGCAATGGTTTAACCTGCTGCACCACAACGCCAGCCCCCATCAGACTAATTTTTAATATCCTGGAGAAATTTTAAAAAAATGTTTCCATGGCAGTGTTGCATAGATACTGCTTCCTCGTGTTCTCAACAGGTTTTGTACCTTTGAGTGAGTCATTCATATAGAGAGACAAATTTAGAGCTTTTTGTTACTTAGGTTTCATTTCAGGCTGCAAACTATGAGAGTGACCTTCAGAATCTATCAACGAATATCAGACGTCACCTTATCTTTGGGAGAAGGCTGTTACTGTGTTGTGTAGCTTTTTATTATGTAAAATTTCATACCTCTTCCAAAGCACATAGAAAAGCTGAGTGAATTTCGATGGTCTTTCACCAGCCTCAGTTATGATGGAGTCATGAGCAACCTCGTTTTGCCTATGCTCCTGCCCACTTTTTATCTTTTCCTAGAAATTTTGAAACAGATCCCAGTTATCATATCATTTCATCTCAAATCCTTTCATACACATCTCTGAAGATTCCTTTGAAATAACACGGTTCCATTGCTACATCTTAAAAAAATTAATACTACTTCATTAATGTCAGTGATCATCTTCTGATTTTTTTCCTCTTTTCAATTTCTCCCTGTTTTTCATAAGGAAGAACTCACATACAGGAAAGAACTTTTACATATGGAAATGGCAGTGTCATTACCTCCCTGCAAGAGTTAGAAGATGTTTCTAGCACTCCTGAGCCCCCTTGGGGTCCTTCTCGGTTGATATTCCCCCACAGGTCACTGTTGTTTTGATTTCAGTCATCATCAGTGGTCATGATTGTGATTTTGAACTTCATATGAAGGGAATTATTTAGCATAAACATATATGCATGGAGGTCAAAAAAATTTTTAAGGTTTATTTATTGATTTGAAAGCTGAGTTGCAGAGAGGGAGAGAGAGAGAAAAGAGTTATCTTCCATCTGCTGGTTCACTCCCCAAATAACTACAGCTGCCGGGGCTGGCTAGGCTGGCCCAAAGCCAGGAGCCAGGAGCTTCTTCCAGGTCTCCCATGTGGATGCAGGAGCCCAAGCACTTGGGCCATTCCCCGCTGCCTTCCTAGGTCATAGCAGAGAGCTGGATCAGAAGTGAAGCAGCTGAGACTTGAACGGGTGCCCATATGGGATGTCAGTGTCACAGGCAATGGCTTTATTCACTATACCACACGTTGGCTCCCAAAATTTTTTACACCAAAATGAACTTATCTCTTCATTACATTCTCCAAGAACATTTTGAAGTACCTTTGTATTCCCTTGTGTCTGGCTTCTTTCACTTAGCATTATGTCTATGAGATTAACTCATGTTATTTCAATTAGCAGTGATTTTTCTTAGCTGTGAGCTGTTCCATTGAATGAATATTGTGCAGTTAATGCAATCCATTCTACTGTTGATGGGCATTTGAATGATTTCCAGTTTGAGGCTATTAGTAATAACACTGCTATCAATATGCTGTTATAACATGTATAATTATTAAATACTACTATACGGTACATGTTGTACGCAGGGTAGCGTGATCATTAAGTTCTGTAGCTATATACCCAGGAATGAGGCAAAGAGACCTTCTATCTGCTTGTTCACTCTCTTGGAGCCATCTTAAATGTTCCTGGATGGATAAGTGAGTTTGTGAACCTTGCTCAGTGGTAAAACCCTTTGCTTCTCTAGAAATAATACTGATTTTATGTGTAGAGAGTTTGAGCAAGTCTTACATTTTAAAACATGCATAGCAACCATCAAAGTGCAGATGTCACTTTGGGTCTACCATCTCTATATTTTCTATGCCAACTCTTTAACAGCCATACTTTAAAAGCATGCTTAAAATAGTCTCTATTATAATTTGATATTGTGGTCCACTTACTTGGAATAAGCAGGGACAGAGTCTGTCCCAGCAGACAGAACTGTGAACCATCTTGGGTCTCTTTAACTTTAGTGGGTCAATTTAACCTGATGATCTTCATTTCTTCCATCCAATTAATAGGATTATATTGTGATCCTGAGATATCCCCTGCTTTTAAATTGCAAAGTATATAATAAAAATAATTTTGTTCTGTTTTCTTTACAGAAATCACAGCCCATTAATGAGTTTTGGAGCCAGCTTTGTCAGTTTTTTGGTAAGTCGCTATCGGAAGATATATGGGCATGAAGCAAACATATAAAGTAGTGTCTGTTAGTGGCTATCAGCCATATAGCTATGCAATTGTAGACAATTTTCCAGGGCTTAAAACTGATAGATTTTTTTCCCCAGTAGCTAGTACCTATCAGATAACTTCTCTTCCATAATTTTTAAACTAAAATCTTAAATCTTCTAGAATATTCTATTCTCCCAACCAAAATTGTTTTTCAGATAAAATACTTGAAAAAGTAAAACTCTATTAGGAAGGGGGGAAATAGGCCGGCGCCGTGGCTGAACAGGCTAATCCTCTGCCTTGCGGTGCTGGCATACCAGGTTCTAGTTCTGGTCGGGGCACTGGATTCTGTCCCGGTTGCCCCTCTCCCAGGCCAGCTCTCTGCTATTGCCCAGGAGTGCAGTGGAGGATGGCCCAAGTGCTTGGGCCCTGCACCCGATGGGAGACCAGGAGAAGCACCTGGCTCCTTCCTTCGGATCAGTGCAGTGCGCCGGCCGCGGCAGCCATTGGAGGGTGAACCAACGGCAAAGGAAGACCTTTCTCTCTGTCCACTCTGCCTGTCAAAAAAAAAAAAAAAAAAAAAAAAAAAAAAAGGAAGGGGGGAAATGGTTTGACTTCGGGTCACAAAGGTTTGCCCTGAAATTGGGTCAGTGTGGATTTTCTAGAAGGCGGAGCATAAGTTAATTGGTTAGTGTTGCGTTTCCAAATACTCACATTTGAGAATCAAGGGACTGAGTTGCAGTAGAGGTTTTAAAGTAAATGGGGCAATGAGGAAGATTGGGTGGTTTCATTTTTTAGAAACATTCATCACACATTGTTTTCAAACACATAATTTTAAAAGAATATCAGATTGTATAAAACCGTGGTGGTGGGGGAAGGCATGAGTGGAGACAAAGAGATAAAGCATTTAGATTTGAGATTCAGAAAAATGGCAGTGAATGGGCAAATGCTGCCCAGCCTGTTGGTACCAGCCTCAGGCACCAGACCAGCCTCCCTCGAGAGGGGGCTTTATTCCAGCCGTTGATTTCCTCATGTCACCAGTGAGTACAGCTTCCTTACAGCCTACCCTTGTAAGTTTCTTGCCTCAAAGAACACAGTAGACTCTAGAACCTAAGCAACTACAGGGGCAGCAAGGGGCATGGAAACCAGGGGTCTCAGCTGAGTCCAGTTGTGGGTGGGAGGGTGGGGGGTGCCAGGGAGGAGCAGGTCCACAGCAGAGGGGAGCTTCCAGCAGCCTGAGGGAACAGGTGGAAAGAAGAGCATGACCGTAAGGCCTGGGCAAGTGTGATCACGGCCTGGTTTGACTGGAAGGGAAAAGTGGGTTAGAGTCAGCTGAGGAGGCCTAGCACAGCCAGGGAGGGCTGGCTGACAGAACAGAGAGTGGAGAGCCAGAGCCAGTGAGCTCACCAGGGGCCTTCCAGCACCCAGGCACCCTGCAGCTGCTCCGTCTGAGCCCCTGCAGCCCACCCACCTCCGGAACAGGGTAGGGGCACAAGTGTTGGGCAGACCTTTGGTAGACTGTCCCCACCCAGGCCAAGGGGACCAGATTCGAATCCACATGCATGAGGCACCCAGAGACGTGCTGTCCATAGGCTCTTTGACCGGGGACAATACAAAATGAACTCCTTGTAAGTAAGCCTGCTGGGACTGCTGTCCCCGGCAAGACTGATGATTTTCAGGGAGCGTGTCCTAGTTGTTGTTTCATTGGCATTTTGGGGCAGAGCGATAGACCAGGGGTTGTGTGGGCAGGGTGAACTGTTGAATGAGATGCTGTTATGAAAACTGAATTGAGCAGACCAATCAGAAAATATATAGAATTTGTGTTATTGTGTTTATGAACAACATAACAAATGTAGGACAATAAGGGTGGGCATGGACCTTTGCTACCATGTATCTTGTCCTGCTGGTGTAGAAGAGGGGTATTCTTACTTCATCCCGAGTTTATAGGTTCTTTAAGTGCTTACGCTATGCTGCAACACTTTGAGTCTTATACTTGGAACAAATGATGTAAGTGTTTTTCTCTTTCTAGTTTGGAATTTTGTTGTAATGAATTGGCCTAAATTTTTAGACACTCGGTGACTCACTCATTCTTTCTTTCTTTCTTGGAAGAATGCCATGATGACATTTGAGGAAGAAAAAATGCAGTTGGCGTGTGATGACTTAAAAACTACAGAAAAGCTGTGTGAAAGTGAAGAGGCTGGAGTGATTGAAACAATCAAGAATAAAATTAAAAAGAATGTAAGTCCCACAGCTTCAGGGTGTGCACTGTGTGCCGCTGACTTAGAATATCACTCATTCACTTGGCTTTTGGTACTTAGAACTTGACTGAAAAAAAAAAAAGGTAAATCCTTGGAATTTACTATGGTTTTTGGTTCTGCAAAATGTGTCTGCTAAAGCATTAGAACCTCCTTTCAGTCCCAGAGCCATGTAGTTCTTCTGTTGACTTCGAATCATGCTCCTCCATGAGCTGAGCATCCAGCTGCTTGGGATGCCTGCATCAAGGTCTGGGCTGTGAAGAGGCACCCTCCCACCCCGGGAGTTCCTGGGGTCTCACGTGTCACATGTGTGATGGAGAAGCTACTCTGCTGGTTCTTGTCCTGAGCGGCCCTGGCTTTTCTGCTGCTCCGTACCAGCCGCTACCCACAACCATAGGAGGGGGCCTTACCCTTGCTCTTGCTCGTGGTGCCCACCCATGGGCCATGAGGACTGTCCCCAGGAGCAGCAGGATGTCCCAGAGTTCCCCTTGCTTCCTCCCTCTCCAACTCAGTGACCAAATCCTGTAGAGTCTCTTTCTTAAGTATCTCTTGAGGTCCTCCGCTTCCCTCCACCCTCACGGCCATCTCTTCAGGCCAGGCAGCGTCCCCCTTGCCTGAGACAGACTGGAGTCTCTGCCTCCGGTCTCACTGTGCCCTAAGCCGTTCTCTCTATAGGCCAGCACTGAAATGCAAATAAATGCTCCTGTGGTTTTCGCTTCCCCACCTCCACTAGCCATTGTCATTGCCATGAAGTCCAAACCCTTGATGTGGCGGCCTTGCCTCTGCCTGGAACATTCTCCTCCTTGACCTGCTCCTCACTTGTTCTTTTGTGTCCTCTTTCCCCAAGACTCTTGCCCAGGGTTCCAAGTCCTGATGAACAGGCCTCCTGCAGGTTCCTGTGTGCTTCTACCCTTCAGAGCACTTACACGTTACGTTGGTAATGAGGCCTCCAGCCCTCATTAGACTGGGAGCTTATTGACGTGTGCAACCTTGGTGTCTAGTACTATGCCTAGCACAGGTGTTAATAATTAACATTTGTAATGGGTCTCGCAGTTTAGAAAGTGTTTTCTTATATAAGGACAGGATCTCATTAGCCCTTCAGACAGCCTGCACAGAAGATGTTATTAGAAAGAAACAGAAGCATCAATAGATTGACATTTTCCCAAGCCAGCAAAGTAATGTGTGGTGAGGCTAGATTTAGAAGAACAATGACCATTTTAGCATAAAATCTGGAAGAACAGAAGCAAATCATTATGTTATGTGTATGATGCACGCAATTTATATATTTTTATATATGTAAAAATCCTACCAGTTCCTACCTCCTTGCGAAAGTACATGAAAGCTAGTTAGCTGATTTTATTCAAGTTCACTCTGTATTGGGGATTCAGAGTACACTATTGCAGTGTGATATTTCTTCTTTTTATCAATATTCTGATAAAACCTAACATTTTGCAAAAAGTGATTTGGCTATTTGCTTGTCTTTATTTATACAGCTGAAGTTTTCAGTTCAAGTTGTGGTCTATGCAAAGTTGTAATGTTTGATGACGGGGTGTTTTCTCCTTAACAGAAGGGTGGTCAGTTTCTGGCCTTCACGTCTCAGTTGCATGCACTAAAAGATGCACCCTCGAATCAGTCCCCCCTGAAGAGCAATGGCTGCTAAATGACCTTTCAGGGTACCTGCTGTGGGGGAGAAGTAGTACCACTGATGGTTTTTATCTTGAATAAGAATTCATATTGGGGGCTGGCGCCATGGCTCACTTGGTTAATCCTCTGCCTGCGGCGCCGGCACCCCGGTTCTAGTCCCAGTTGGGGCGCCAGATTCTGTCCCGGTTGCCCCTCTTCCAGTCCAGCTCTCTGCTGTGGCCACGGAGTGCAGTGGAGGATGGCCCAAGTGCTTGGGCCCTGCACCTGCATGGGAGACCAGGAGGAAGCACTGGCTCCTGGCTTCGGATCGGCATAGCTCCGGCTGTAGCGGCCATTTGGGGGGTGAACCAATGGAGGGAAGACCTTTCTCTCTCTCTCTCTCTCTCTCACTAACTCTGTCAAATAAAAAAAAAGAATTCACATTGGTTTTCTTTATAAAGGTGAAACTCTGAAATTTTGTGTGGATTTTCATGTTTCCCATAAATTGCATTTTCATTATTCAGAATCGTTGTCCTGGAGTTAGACTCCCCCTCTGCATTCTATGAGCTCTGTTACCAAAGCACAGCTAACCTCGGGGGGAATAGTTACCGAGTTGTACTCGCAACTTGGCCTTGGCTGTGAGTGGCCGCCATGTTTCCCAATTCCTAGGTGCGATGATGATTTCGTGCAAGAGACTAATGGTTGTCTGGAGGGGATATTGTTGTTGCGCAGGATTTATGAGTGTGTGCTTGCTTTCCACCAAACAGGTTGACGTCCGGAAATCCGCCCCCTCCATGGTTGACCGGCTTCAGAGGCAAATCATCATAGCTGACTGTCAGGTGTACCTGGCTGTGCTTTCGTTTGTGAAACAAGAGCTGTCAGGTACGCCCAAGTACTGCTTTCCAGGGCTTGTTCCTCAGTACACATAGTGACAGTCTTCTCTAGAACGCCTCGGATTTCAGTCCTTGAAAACATGTGGCACCGTTTTGGGGTACGATTCTGATGTATTACTCGCGAAGTTGAAACTGCGAGTGCTTAGTGTGTGTTTCACAGAGTGGTCTGTGTTTCTTCCTTTTGCCTCCAGATAATGCTGTCATCTTAGAGAAATCACCAGCACCTTTTCATGTGTGTCTGTGTAGATACCTATAGTCCTTTTTCTTGGTGGGAATGAAGTTGTGACTGTAGCATTTCAAGTGAAATATGATGGATTTAAATCTAAGATTAATGGGAAAGTGTTCCTGTAGGCCTGGCTGTTTTCAGTGCTTTCAACTGTATTAGGAAATCATTCAAGATCATTAAAGATTTCCTGATATAATGGAATGACCTTTAGTCGTGGGTATAAGCTCATTTCTTAATTTGCCTACCACAGTGTTTTCTGAGCTTTTGTGGCTTTAATTTCCTGAGTGAAATAGACTCAATTGCATCTCTAACAACTTGCCCTAAGACTGGGTCTACTGGGCCTGATCTTTTGCCTATGTGATTAGGTGTTTCTCTGCTGTGACAGCAGGGGCCTGCCACTTGGGTAGATAGAACTTACTCAGAAAAGATGAAAATTCAAAACAGGAATCAATTAAAACTCACAGTCAGAAAAGCATTTTCTGCCAAACTTAAAATGAAGAAGTATATATTTCTGTTAAACTGTAACATCTAGATTACCAGAGGCCAGCCCACCCCACCCCCCTCTCTCCCTCTCTCCTCCTCTCCTTTTCTCCCTCTTTCCCTCTCCCCCTTTCCTCTCTCTTCCTGCCTCTATTTCTTTTCTTTTTTAAAAACTATTTTATAGCCGGTGCCACGGCTCACTAGGCTAATCCTCCACCTAGCGGCACCAGCACACTGGGTTCTATTCCCAGTCGGGGCGCTGGATTCTGTCCCGCTTGCCCCTCTTCCAGGCCAGCTCTCTGCTATGGCCTGGGAGTGCAGTGGAGGATGGTCCAAGTACTTGGGCCCTGCACCCCATGGGAGACCAGGAGAAGCACCTGGCTCCTGCCATCAGATCAGCGCGGTGCACCAGCCGCAGCACGGCGGCCATTGGAGGGTGAACCAACGGCAAAAGGAAGACCTTTCTCTCTGTCTCTCTCTCTCACTGTCCACTCTGCCTGTAAAAAAAAAAAAAAGGCTATTTTATTTATTTGAGATATATAGTTACAGACAGTGAGAGGGAGAGACAGAGAGACAGTTCTTACGTCCACTGGTTCACTCCCCAAATGGCTGCAATGGCCGGAGCTGCGCCGATCTGAAGCCAGGAGCTTCTTCCTGGTCTCCCATGCAGATGCAGAGGCCCAAGGACTTGGGCCATCTTCTAATGCTTTCCCAGGCCAGAGCAGAGAGCTGGATCAGAAGAGGAGCAGCCAGGACTAGGACCGGCACCCGTATGGGATGCCAATGCCACAGGCGGAGGATTAACCTACTGAGCCACATTGCTGGCCCCTCTGCCTCTATTTCATACTTGAGGATACTTTGGTTCTGTTTGACTCGAGTCAAAAGTGGAATTCCACTTTTATTTTGACCTTCAGAATTTGGCTTCCTTGAATTCATTCTTTTAAGTGTGTTCTGTAATTTACTTTTGCTGTTTGCTTTGGTTCAGTTACCCCCCTCCCCCTTATTCCACTTCTCAGGACTCTCCCGATACCATGCTTATACTGGGGAGAGTACATAGCTCTTGTGAATTTTCTGTACTGTGACCATGCAAAGTCCCCTAGTTGGAGCCCCACAGCAGCTCAGATAGCAAAGAGCAGCAGGGCTTATCATGAGTTCTTCGGTCCACATAGGTGCTCTGGGTTTTCTGTGATTCTTGTATTTCCTTTTCCTGAACTGTTGAGAGAGAAGGATAAAGTAAATATAGGGGCTGGCTGTTGTGGTACCGCAGTTTAGGCTGCTGCTTGCATCCCATATCAGAGTGCTGGTTCAAGTCTCAGCTGCTCTGCTTCTGATCCAGTTCCCTGCAAATACTCCTGAGAAGGCAGTGAAAGATGGCCCAAGTGCTTGGACACCTACCACCCAACTGGGAGACCCAGATAAAGCTCCAAGCTCCGGGCTTCTGCTGGCCCAGCCCCAATTTGTGTAGCATTTGGGGAACGAACCAGCGAATACAAGATCACTCTGTGTCTCTCCCTCCCTCTCTCTCTATTGCTCTGCCTGTGAAATAAATCTTTAAAATAAAAAAGCAAATGCAAAGTAAAATGTAAAATGTCTCAGTGCAGAAGTAAATCAGTTTAAAAAATGAGTATATCTGTCTTCATTCATTCATAAGTTTTTGAATCAAACACATAATCATAGAGTTTATACCATATGTTAAGTGCTGTGGTAGGTGAGCAAACATAGGCCATGATCCCTGCACTCATGAACTTTGGGTTAATCAGTTCATATGTCTTACTTTTAAAATTATTCTCCTTATAAAATGACTAAGTATTATCATGGAGATTTTTTAAAATATCACAAACTACAAAAGAAAGTCATCTCTAATTTCACCCCATGGAGAAAGTCACTTAATACTATTAGCTGCCGGTGCCGTGGCTCAATAGGCTAATCCTCTACCTAGCGGCACCGGCACACCGGGTTCTAGTCCCAGTCGGGGCGCTGGATTCTGTCCCGCTTGCCCCTCTTCCAGGCCAGCTCTCTGCTGTGGCCCGGGAGTGCAGTGGAGGATGGCCCAAGTGCTTGGGCCCTGCACCCCATGGGAGACCAGGAGAAGCACCTGGCTCCTGCCATTGGATCAGCGCGGTGCGCCGGCCACAGCGCGCCAGCCGCGGCGGCCATTGGAGGGTGAACCAACGGCAAAAGGAAGACCTTTCTCTCTGTCTCTCTCTCTCTTTCACTATCCACTCTGCCTGTCAAAAAAAAAAAATACTATTAGCAATCTATTTTTATTTTTTTAAAAGATTTATTTCTTTATTTGAAAGGCAGAATTACAGAGAGGCAGAGGCAGAAAGAGAAAGGTTTTCCTCTCTCTCTGATTTCACTCCCCAAATGTCCACAATGGCTAGAGCTGTGCCAATCCAAAGCCAGGAACCAGGAGCCTCCTCCAGGTCTCCCACATGGGTGCAGGGGCCCAAGGACTTGGGCCATCTTCTGCTGCTTTCCCAGGCCATAGCAGAGAGCTGGATTGGAAGTGGAGCAGCCAGGCCTGGAACCAGCGCCCATATGGGATGCCAGCACTACAGGCGGTGGCTTTACGTGCTATGCCACAGGGCCGGCCCCTCCATTTTTTTTTTTTTTTTTTTTACAAGATTAAATCTATGGGGCTTTGCATCCTATTTTGTGCTTTTAGATTGTGTTTTCCCTATGACTCAGTTTCAAATATAATTCTAAATAATTAATAGAATATTAGTGTATCATGGATGTGCCATAATCTATTTAATCAATTCTTCTTGGACATTTAGATGCTCTTTGTTGTACATTTTTTTGGTGACAGGTGAGCTTGCACCTATTTTTATACTTTATCCCTAAACTGTATTTCTTTCACAAATTACCTTCATGGCCTTTGTCCATTCTTCTGATACTTTGATGTTAATTGATTATGCTGTTTATCATAGATATTTAGCAGCATTCTGGGGGACGGGGTACAGGGGGGAGAGACCTTCCATCTGCTGGTTCACTCCGTCAACGGCCCCTACAGCCAGGGCTGGGCCAGGCCAAAGCCAGGAGCCAGGAGCTACATCCTGTTCTCCACATGGTGGCAAGGGCCCAAGTAGCCATTCTCCGCTGCTTTTCCAAGTGCATTAGCAGGGAACTAGACTGGAAGTGGAGCAGCCTTGATTTTAATCAGCACTCATTTGCGATGCTGGGAGACGCCCACTTCCTGTGGCTGTAAGGGAAGCTTGTTTGGTGAGGAATTCCCTATGGAAAACCCTTTGCTCAGGGCTCTACTCGTGATGCACTGAGATTCGTGCAAGGAAACAGACCCCCTCTGGGCACCCACTGGCGAGAACTGTTCACAGAGAAGAGGTGCACAGCGCCCTCCGGAGGCCGTGCTGGGGAGAGGCCCTCGGGGCCCAGAAGGTGGTTCCTCGCCATCCTGCTTGTTAACCTTGACATCTTCTCTGTGGGGCTGGTTCTCAAGAGAAGTCAGCCTGCTGGGAACCAGCGGAAGCGGCCCTAAGAATGGCAGCTCTCCACCTGTTGGTGCAGTCTCGCCTTTGCCCCCCTCTCCACCAGACCCTGCAGGCTGGGCAGCGGGTGAGGGAATGCCCGTGCTCCAGGCCGAGTCAGGCAGTCCTGGGAAGAAGTGGCCAGGCTGCACAGGTGGCCTGAGACCCCGTGTGTTTCTGCCCTTCCCGTGAGTGAACGGCATCTCTTGCTCGTTTACTGCCCTCTGTTTACCTAGTAAACGTGAATCCTTTTGTTTGCTGGCTGTATTTTTTGGCAAGACATCGTGCTTAGGGCTTGTGTATAAATTTAGCATTGAACTAGACCCCAAGTTCACTCTTGAGGGGGAACACAACACAGGGTAGACAGAGCCGGAGTTACTGAAGAGGTTTATCAGGATAGCACTGTAGTAGTTCAGAGAGGTCGTGGAGGATTCCCTGGAACCCATGGGGACAAGTTGGATTCAGGCGACCCTCCCTGCCTGCCCTCCTCCTTTCCTTCCTCCCTTCCTCCCTTCTTTTCATACTTTCCCCTCTCCCTCCCTCCCTTCCTACCAGCATATATCATACGCATATACTATGTTCTAGTTATTGTATAAGGGAATTGATGTAACAGTGAACAAAAAAACACATACAGTTCTTGGCAGTGGTCATACAGTACAGAGAAGGGAGATCGACAACAAGTAAGAGATTTAAGCACGAAGAAGAAACCTGGGTGTAGTGAGTGATAAGAGCCTTTATGATTTGTATGGTTTTGCTTGGTCATCAGAGGGTTTTTCTGCATCCTTTAGCATTCAGATACAAAGCTGATTGCAAACCTAACTTGTTCATGCTTTTGCCCCCTCCCCCTCTTCTAGCGTACATAAAAGGTGGGTGGATCCTTAGGAAGGCCTGGAAGATTTACAATAAATGCTATCTGGACATCAATGCGCTCCAAGAGCTGCACCAGAAGAAGCTGGCTGAAGAGCCCTTGACCTCTGACGCTGCAAATGATAACCACATTGTGACTGAAGGGGTGTCTGAGGAGTCTCTGAACAGACTGAAAGGTGCTGTGAGCTTTGGATATGGCCTTTTTCACCTTTGCATATCCATGGTGCCCCCAAACCTGCTCAAAATCATCAACCTGCTGGGTTTTCCTGGAGACCGCCTACAGGGGCTTTCTTCACTGATGTATGCGAGCGAAAGTAAGGACATGAAGGCCCCTTTAGCTACGTGAGTAGCTATATTGCAATGCTTTGGTAGATAATATAGTGTTGAAAGTAAGTAAACCACACTCAGAGACTTTAAGGGAACTGCAGGTAACATGCGTGCCCGGTTGACACGACGCCGTGCCTGGAGTCATTTAATGCCACTCTGAGGACTGTGCTGTGTGGTGTTCTGTGGTGGTGGCCGTCAGCCGGGGCACTGGAGAGCAAGGCACCGTTCTTTTAAGTCTCATGAGTCCTGTGTTTTAAACAGGGCAAGTGACCTTGTCTTTCAGCCTCAAACGATTGTAGAAGTTTCTGTGACTTTGACCGCCGTCATCACTGTGATTCGTGATCCTGAGTTTTGAACTTAGGACGTAGAAATTTAAGAAGCCTCTTCTCTGATTCTGCAACTTGTATTCTTATGAAGACTCCTCACACTGGGTGATTTCTCTGTGATTCTAGTTTGTCAGTTGCTTTCTTATACCAGGGTCCTTCAGAAAATTCATGGACAGATGCAATTAAAAGATAAATTTATTGCAGTGTAGAAAATGTTAAGTCCGTGCAGTTTCCTTATAGCATGCAATTTCCATGAACTTTCTGAAGATCCTTCATTCATGGGACAGAACTCACCATTCATTAATGATAAAAATTAAAAACAGAAAAAAAAAAAAAAACAGCCTCTTGGGAATCTAGGAATACATGGCAGGAGTATTGTTTGCTAGCCCACTAAATTGAGACCTGTTACATTGTTCTAGGTAGACCTAAGTGACAACTATTTAAACCAGGCAACATGGAGAACCTGACAGGACCCACCCATTTCTACATCAGTTAAAAAGGATGGGATTTTCTTTCCACCTGGCAAATATCTACCATTTTCCATTTGAGCAGTTTTACCAAACTACCTGTTCTTTGTCTGACATGAGTGACATCACTTGTCAACAATTTCCCAAAAAATGGGTGATTTCACAGAGGTTCTCCATGAACTCTTGTCCTGCGTATTGAGGAGTGTGCTTGGTAACTCAGTAGCCATTAGAAATAGCATTAATGTTTCATTGAAAACATATTTGTGTCTTCCCAAGCTCATTAAATTACTCAAACCGTGGTCCTACGTTAATTTAAACTCACAGACTTGTAACTTGTGATCATTTGTCTGTTTATGTCTTAATATCATTTGGTGCTTAAAGGAAGGAATAGAATTAGTAATGTAAATTGGTATGATCTCCACGAGAGAACTGAATTTGTGAACACACGGCAAGAACACATTCACATAAAAATATTCGATGTGCTGGTTAAACATTTTCATCTGTTCGTTAAAGCTGTTCTTGATGAGTCTGTTTTGTTGACCTAAGTTTAATGTGACATTTTCTTGAAGGTACTGAATTTGAAGTACAGGTATGCTACGTTATTTGTGTATTTGCTTGTTTTATACCTTGAGCACCCCCAGCAGTCAGAGAAAGGGCCTTTAAATCTCTCCTTCTCAGCAGCTTCGTACGACTTCTGACTTTCGTTTCTGCAGTTCAATTTGAATTCCGAGGCTTGGACCTTAACTTTTTTGAACACAAGAGAAAACAGTGATCTCTTTTTGCAAAAAGTACAGCTTTTATTAGGAGCAGACAGCAGATGCAAGGTCCCTGGCTACTGTTTCTGATTTGTGCCTTGACAAGGGAGATGCAGAATTCAGAGGTTTACGTGGGTCGTGTCTGCAGCCGCCTGCCTGCAAGGCTCTGTGACCTTACTCCTCCCACCCAATGAGAGGGGGCGTGCCGCTCATGCCACATGCTGCACCTGCAGTCCCCCCAAAGACCGGCAAAATTAAAACAGGAAAACGTACTCAAGGTATTACCTCTGTAAGGACGGTGTGGTAAGCCTTTCAGAAAGACTGTGTAATGGAGAGGTCGCGTGCTGATTTTTTTTTTTTTTAAGTAATAGAAACCATGTAAGAAAAATCATGCGCTCCGTGTCTGTCTCTCTCTCCCCCCTAGATTAGCTCTGCTCTGGTACCACACCGTGGTGCGCCCTTTCTTTGCCTTGGATGGCAGTGATAACAAAGCCGGCCTGGATGAAGCGAAGGAAATTCTTCTCAAAAAAGAAGCTGCTTACCCAAATTCTTCCCTCTTTATGTTTTTCAAGGGACGGATACAGCGATTAGAGGTACGGTGCCTTCCCTCTGATGATCAGATCTTGGCTCCTCGCCTGGGGGCTCCTATCACAGTGAGCCAGGAAGTCCTGGGGCCTGGGAACATTTTGTTCTGCCTTTCCTTGTGTCACTGCTAAGGACGACTCTTCCAGGAGCCCTGGGTGTTTGTCGCTCGCCTTCTGTTCAGGGGGTGTGGGTGAAGCAGGGGTGATTCCTCACTGAGAACGAGACAAATTGGCATCCTTGCAGCTGAAGGCACACAAGTATGATTAAGTCTCTGAGCTGAAGAACACAAAATACAATGGTTTTCTTCTCTGAGATACTAATAACCCATTTCTAAATTTTGATCTCTACAGACAGTGGAGTGGACAGTGAGAGAGAGAGACAGAGAGAAAGGTCTTCCTTTGCTGTTGGTTCACCCTCCAATGGCCGCCGCGGCCAGCGTGCTGTGACCAGCGCATCGTGCTGATCCGAAGCCAGGAGCTAGGTACTTATCCTGGTCTCCCATGGGGTGCAGGGCCCAAGCACCTGGGCCATCCTCCACTGCACTCCCTGGCCACAGCAGAGAGCTGGCCTGGAAGAGGGGCAACCGGGACAGAATCCGGCGCCCCGACCGGGACTAGAAATCGGTGTGCCGGCGCCGCAAGGTGGAGGATTAGCCTAGTGAGCCACGGCACCGGCCAGTTTAACAGTAGCTTTCCATCATGTTCAGATGTTGGATTTGGCCAAGAGCTTTACGTGCGCTGTTCCGTTTCATCCTTGGAGCCACTCCATGGCTGAGATGTCCAGGTGTCTTCTGTGTGTTATAGAAAAGAGAAACAGGGGCCCGAGAACTTTCTGAGCTCATGCAACGAGTGGCCCAGGCGCTCCCAGTCCCTCCTAGAGGGAGGGTTCTCTCCTCCTTGGTGTCTCTGTTTATCTGTTTACTTGAGGACTTGAACAATGAAAATGTAAGACAGTAACCATGCCCCTGGACAAAGGTGGCTGTTAGGCTAGAGGCCCCATCTATTGCTTAGCAATAGTTACCAGTGAATCAGTTTGAGGTTTTAGCAGTATCTGTGGTCCACTTGGCCAGGCCCTCTGCTAGAGGGGTGTCACCCCAGCAAACCCCATGAGTGCCCCTGAAGACTTTTGCCCAGGCCCATTTTTCAGAGGCCCAGGACTGTTGGTTGGGTTGGTTGATGTTTGCAATGGGAGTGTATTTTACCGCCCCATTTATTTTTCTTTCACTAAGTGACTCCTTACATCTGAGGACTCCACACAGCAATTTCCTAACTTGTAATCTCTAATGAAGCGATTTCTAAAAGGAGAATATTCTTTGAGATTACACTAATAGTTTATAACTGAAACACAGTGCAGAAGCTCACCAGGGTCTGAATCGTTTAAACTCATATCCAAGTTATTTCGTTATTATCTTGAAACTGTTTTCCTTTGCATTTAGGCATGTGAGTCCTTGGCTGGATTTCTCCCTTTTCCCTCTTGCTCTTAATGCAGCTCTCATGTCTCCTGCGCAGTCAGGTCTATTCACGAGAGTTCTTTTCGTTCAGACTCAGGGTTCCGTAGCCCTGCTGGGAGAAGAGAGCTTTAGGCTGTGGAAGCTTCCCTACTCCCCGGGGTTGGTGCAGGAGGAGAGCACACTGTGAAAGGAGACTTTGGATGGCCTGAGCCTTCTCACTCCTGAAGTGGAAGCTGCGTACAGGATGAGTGCTTTCTTAGTGTTAAAGGTCTCGAGAGTGGCTTTGAACGTGAGGATACTAAGTTCAGCGTTCAGCAGAGATTTGTTGACTGGAGGGCAAGAGCCTGGAATTTAAAGTTGTACGAGCCCGCAGTGGGGCACCAAAGCCCTTGGCATTTTTTAGAATTGTCCCTCTGTACTCCATGATGATGAACGAGGTCTGTTGGGTTTGGTTGGTTTGATGGGAGTGTGACGTCCTAGGGCTCTGGTGCAGCAGGGTGAGTATAGCTACTGCACTCTATACTTCACTATTAAGAAACCTAAGAGATAAGATTTGGGCTACTTTCTTTCTTTTTTGTTTTTTTAAAGATTTGTTTCATTTATTTGAAAGAGTTACAGAGAGAGGTGAGACAGAGAGGTCTTCCATCTGCTGGTTCACTCCCCAGATGGCCGCAACGGCCTGAGCTGTGGCGATCCGAAGCCAGGAGCCAGGAGCCAGGAGCTTCTTCCAGGTCTCCCGTGCAGGTGCAGGGGCCCAAGGACTTGGGCCATCTTCTACTGCTTTCCCAGGCCATAGCAGAGAGCTGGATCAGAAGAGGAGCAGCCGGGACTAGAACAGATGCCCATATGGGATGCCGGTGCATAAGGCCAGGGTTTTAACCTACTGCGCCACAGTGCCTGCCCCCTACTGCTTTCTTTTAAAAAAAAAAAAAAGATTTATTTTTATTTATTTGAAAGACTGAGTTACAGAGAGAGATAGAGCCAGAAACAGAGAGAGAGGTCTTCCGCCCGCTGGTTCACTCCCCAAATGACTGTAACAGCAGGAGCTGGGCTGATCCAAAGCCACAGCTTCTTCTACTCTCTCACGTTCATACAGGAGTCCAAGAACTTGGACCATCCTCCACTGTTTTCCCAGGCCATAGCAGAGAGCTGGATTGGAAGTGGAGCAGCTGGGGGCTCGAACTGGTGCCCATATGGGATGCCAGCATTGTAGGCTGGGGCTTTAACCCACTGCACTACAGTGCCTACCCCAGGGCTACTTTCACTATAAAGAAATGTTAGATATATTTACCCTGATTGGATATTACACAATGTATACATGTAACAAACCAGTACACAGTGCTGCAAAAATATGCACAATTTTTATATGCCTGTTAAAAATAGTTTTAAATAAACTTCTGTAAATAAAATAAGTAAATTGGGTTTGGACGCTGTTAAACAGACAAGTAAAAATCAGGATTTGTATTTTGTTATGCTTGCTGTTTGAGTTAATTTTTTTTATTTGGTGATGAAAGTGCTTAATTTTGGTTAGACTGTTAACTTGCTCCCTCCACCCCACCCCTCCAAAAAAAAAAAAAAAAAGCCTTAATTTTGGTGATTTGCCAAGGTTTTAGTTTGTGGTTCATTCCCATCAGGGACTGAGTGAATGCTACAAGTAAAAGGTCACTGGGTCATTCATTGCTGCTGGGGTGGGTCTTGAAGTCACGAAGCCGCACCTCCGGGGAGCCCTCCGCAGGCCCTCCTTCTCTTTCAGAGTGGAGAATGGTGCAGAGTGCAGGGGACAGATGCTGTGACACCTGCACGGGGCAGCCGGCAGCCACTTGCCTGCTACTTGGTTCTAGGAAGAGGACTGTTCTGGTGTAGTGGCCCAGCGATGGCAGGGCCGGAACCCTGCATGTTGATGCCCATGGTGACTCATTTCTCCCCCAGGGGAAAGAGGGGGGGTTCTGTGTGGCCGGGCGGTGTGGACGTTGGCAGAGTGTGTCTCAGCGTCTGCTGAAGGGCGGGCAGCCCTGCCTCCGGGGTTTGAACCGCCTGCCTCGTCAGCATGATGTCATGTTGTTATTTATAGGCTCAGGAAAGAGGCAATGCAGGAAGAGAAATCAGTCCCTGAAGCTCTCTTAATTGTAGTCTTCTCTTCCTCCACCCTGCATGATTCTCTTAATTACTTCAGGCACCCTCCCCCACCCCCACCCCCCGCCAAAAAAAAATAGGGCTGCTGTTTTATTCTTAGAAGTACAGGGAATGAGAGATTGATTTCATCTGGTGGAGGGGAGATGGAGGATGTATTTGTCTTCACTTTGCAGCGAGATCAATGCACATCGTGTGTGTAATGACTGTTGGCCGAAACGAGAACATCGTGGTTACCCAGTTTGCCCGTGAGTGAAATACACTGGCTGTTCTTTCCAGCCTATCTTTCCAGGCCGTTGGGTTGCAAGGCAAGTAGAAGGCTAATATTGATTTATATCCCTAAGCTTGCTCAGTGTGCATAAGAGGATAAGCTTCCCCTTGCCTGCATCGGCCGTAGTCCAGAGGTAGGGGTCAGTCCTTCCTCTCAGTGTCCTTCAGGGCAATATTGCTAACCCGGTTCACGGCGGCCTTGGTCCTGAATCACGTAGAAGAAAGTGGCTGGCGCAGCGTGTCCTTCTGCAGCCTACAAGGAAATCCTTCCGTTGTAAGACCTGTGCATAGTGCTTCAAGATGATAAGCAGTTCCATAAAAATAATAACTCAATGCTAATTATATTTTCAGCTGCTTTACCTCAAATTATTCTGTGACCTTTAATATACACATGGGAGACTTTATGCATTTTGCTGACAAACCTAATGTTGATATGTATTAACGTAGTTTTTATAAATAACTCATATGCAGGCAGACTGCTTAGATCTCCACTGTGGTAATAATGGGGCATTTCCCTTATGTTGGGATACTTAATTGTTGCTCTTTTCCGGTATTTCCCTGGGGTTACAAGTTATGCAACACATATCTTACCGTGTTTTTTCTTTCTTTTTTTTTTTTCCCTGAGTTGTTTCTTTGGGCTGTAGCTTTAGTATTGAGAAATAAAAATGATGAACAGTTCTGTAGCTGTTGTTAAATGGTTAAAAATTACACTCAAGAAACAAGGGGCCGGAGTATGACTGTTTCTGTTTCCTGCATGGTATCAGCATCTGTATCCCAGCCCTTAGTTTTATTTTTATTTCTGTTATGATGCAAGTTAAAGCAGTTTAAAGATAATTTTTAAAATGCCGTTGGAGAAACACCCTGTGCTCAAGGATCAGAAGATGTGATCAGCAGTGCTCCCTAGCTGAACTGCAGATCCGAGCACTCCCTGTGAAAATCAGAGCTTGCATTTTTGTGGAAATTCGCAAACAGACTCAAACCTCAAGGGACCCAGAATAGCAAAAACAATCTTGAAAAAAAAAATTGGAAGAGTCATACTTCCTGATATCAAAATGTACTGTACAGTAACCTGGACAGTGTGGTGCTGGTATAAGAATAGACATATAGATCCGTTTTGATCAATGGACTTTTGACAAGGGCACCAAGGCAAATCAGTGG